CCATCAAAAAAGTGAGGACCTACTAATTGGTTATTTATGACACCAATATACACGTTAACCGAAAACCTTAACTGAGAACGACGTTCTCGAATAGCATGGGGATTTTCTTCTGCCCACACATGTGAATTTCGTGAATTATTTATCCCGTCTCTGGTAAATTGGGCTTCATCTGTAAATAGTGTCCTGTATAGCGTTGGTCGATTATTGTTAATCCATCCACAAAATTCCAACCTATCGATCTCATCTCCAGCATGTAGTCGCTGAACCATTTGAATGTGATATGGGTATAGATTATTTTTTTGTAAGACTCTACTTACTTTTGATTGAGTAACATTGAGTTCTCGACTTACTTGTCTAGTGCTTATTGTAGGGTTCATAGTAACGGCGTTCATAATGTCATCTTCCTGCGCTTCATCTACATGTCGCTCTGTTGTTCCACTAGGAAAAGTGCCATTTTCCCGCAAATAATTAAAAACTGACCCAAATGTTGGATGACTGGGAGTTCGACGATTAGGAAATCTCCTGCGATATTCTCTACTAGCAGCCCTACCATTCCCATTACAGAATCCATAAACAAATATTATGTCTGCATATTCTGTGGTCGAAAACTGATGTGGCATTTTGAACGAAAGTAAGAAAAGCTCTACCAAAACTAACACAATGTACTTAACGTAGATATGACAGAAGAAATATGTATTCTTGTACACATAAATAGCAATTGATAATGACAATAATGACAATGGGTATAAAATATCAAGAAACGTCAAACGGTCAACGCCAACCTTCATTTTAAACTTTTTTAGATTTATTTTTATTTAGTACAGTTGATGCAATGTATTATTATTTGACATAAAATTTTAATCATTTACAATAAACAAAAACTAACACATACAAGAGGTTTGACTTTTTAATCAATTTAAATTATTATTTATCGAAAATAATGCCCCAATACGATCTATGAGTAAAAATTTAAAATTAAAAAACAAATGATTTTTTGTTGTGCAGTGACTCAGTTTATCATTTCAATTAAAATGTTTGAAATTTATATTATTTGTTTAAATTAATTACCTTATAATTTGATACTTTATTATGGTTGTTCTATTTTTGGTAAGATTTGATCGTTCACTAAAAATTTAATAAAAGTGCGACAACATTGTCGCATGTGTCGTTTTCATTGGCTATTTATGTAGTTTGAAAATCACTTATTGCATTTTAAAAAAATATATATACAGAGTGTAATATTTAATACGAATTCTTAAATTAATTTTTCCAAAGCCAGTCCTAGTATTTTTTAATTTAGCTAATACCAGTCGAATGCTTGATAGTAGTGTACTGTATCATGCAAAAATTAAAAAAATTAAATGAGCCGTATAAACACTACAGTAAAATGAAATAAATGGTCAATTACACAAATCACCCTGTTAATTAATAAAGAAGAGGAGTTGACATTTTTTAGTGGCCACATGATATGCTCCCTAAAGGACTATACATATGGTAGAAGTATGTAAAGTTCCTCATGACTCACCCTGTTTACTGTTTGTATTTTGAGAACGGTTGTATAATAAGATTGACATCAACAGCGTATCCTAGGTAACTAAAATAAAATATTGAAGAAAAATCATTAATTACTAACGAATCCTACTTTCCAATACCATATTATGTAGACATTTTTTAAGATTTTATTCCAATAAATCATAAAAACTTTTAACCCATTATTTTAAATATGCAATACGAAATAGGATAACCAATACAATTTCTTAAATCTGTAATATTTCCTATTCCGTCCCTGTAGAGTACGTCGGTATAGATGGAAGGCGATCAGTTGACAGGCACTTTCCATGCGAGACACCTGAAGGAGTCTCCGTGGGGCTCCTAGACCTCCGACTGTGCCAGAAATCGAACTGGACCGGTCCCACTGTCCGTTTCTTGTCTTCTACAACTAATTGACGTACTCGTAGCTTACTAAATAAATCTCGAAAGTAAAAAAATCGACTTATATATGCACGATTAACTTAAGACTCATAAGAAACTCATAACTTGAATATTTATTTCCAAATTTTTTATGCCTCGTCATAAATCGTTACGATCAATTAATAATTTTTCTTTAATTACAAAGTTCGAATACGTTTTGGCCAATGTTTATGGGATCTAATATTTTGTGATGTGGGTGTTGCGGATTAGTGCAGTAAATATATTGAAAAATTATTTTTATATGAATTAGTGAAATAATTTTAATCAATAATTTTGTCATCGGTCTCTTGTATCTATTAATATAATGTTTTCAACTCATCCACTCATCACAACTGCATGTAAAGATTTAACTTAACACTAGTAACACTACTATTCATGCTTTTTCATTCATCCATACTTTTGACTTTCATTTTAGATCTTGCCGTTTACGGTTGTGTTTGAGTATGTCTCATTTTTGGTCTTATATTTTTCTTCTGTAGCTACTTCGTCTTTCTTCTTGATTTTATCTGAAGATGATTTTTTAGCTAAAGATAAAACCTTGGATTCTATCTTCATGTCCATGTTTATGGCATTGCTTCATCTCTTTCGAGCATACCGCATGCTTGGATATTCTACTGTTGATTTATATGAAAATATTATCAACACTGTCCATTTTTTAATTCGTTTCATTCCATTCATTTTTTTAATACTAAGCTGGTAATATCTTCGACCTCGCATGTGTCGTTAGCGTCTGAGAATGTTTTTTAGGGTATTCTAAGAATTATTTTGATTTCCGTTAGTTTCAGCTGTTCTAATGGTTTTTTTACCGTCTTCCATTCTTACCACATGCCCCATCTAACGCAACCGTCATATTTTAATTATTGTTAGGATATGCAAATCCCGGTAGATTCCGTCGCAGAATTTCTCTTACAAAGGTGGATATTAATCATCCCCATTTTTAGAGAGTGTCCATTTGTCTTTTATTCGCCAAAATAAAAATATTTTCACTAAAATGCAAAAAACTTTAATTCCAGCCAATGTTGAAAAACTAGTGGTAATTTCGGTATATTGGTGATCTAATTCCGGCCTGCATATAAAAAAATGTAAATATTTATTTTATTATTTTCAAAGTAGGTATAAAAAATACAGATGCATAAAAACATAATTTTTATACAGAGTCCCAAAAGTCTGGAAACGGCTAATTATCTCGTAAATGACTGGACATAATTATACAAAATTTAAGATACGCCTATTTTGGGATACGGAAATTCCATATTTGGTATTTGCAATGTTGCCAGATTTTTAGTTTCTCTTATATTACTAGTAACTTTGGTTTTTCAAATGCATCACCCTGTATATTCAGTCATTATTGGAATCTCCTATTAAATACGAGTTCAACCATATGTAAAACTTATGATTTTATGTAGTCTGGAAGGTCTTAAATACATAAAACAGAAGTCTGGCAACGCCTAAATTGTTTCAATACATTTTTTAATACTAACTATTTTCAAATACATTAAAACGTAACAATTGATAGTTTAGAATATGTTTTAACATAATAGTTACGTTATTAAGTGTTTAAAATGTGCTCCATTTGTGAGTTGACAGCACTCTAATCGATGGTAGAATGCGTCTACCACATTTCTCCATGATTGTCTAGAAATTATTGGAGATTCATCGATAATTCATTGTTTTAGAGCTATGCAAGACTTGCTGGTTAAGTTTTGTAAACTGAATTTTTTAAGTATCTCTAATAAAAATAATCTTTAGGATTGAGATCGGGTGAACGTGGAGGCCATTCAATTCTACTTTGCCTACCAATTTATTGTCCGGAAAATATCTCATCTAAATAACGCCGAACATTTACACCAACTATCTGACGTTAAATTTCTCTCGATAAAAAATGACCCAATTAAATAAGTACCTACTATAACTGATCATACATTTAATTTTTGTGGTCTTTGAGTATGGTTTTATGTAACAAATCAAGTGTTACACATGGTTGAACTCGTATTGAATAGGAGATTCCAATAATGACTGAATATACAGGGTGATGTATTTGAAAAACCAAAGTTACGAATAATATAAGAAAAACGGCAAATCTGGCAACATTGTAAATATCACATATGGAATCTCCGTATCCCAAAATAGGTGTACTTCAAATTTTGTACAATTATGATTAGCATTTTACGAGATAATTAGCCGTTTCCAGACATTTGGGCCACTCTGTATAGAAGAAGCACAGAAAAATTAAATAAAATTAAAACATGTACACACCTAATAAATTTTGAACCTAAAAGAAACAACAAAAAATACTTTCATCAGTTACTCAGCAACAGTCTTTTTTATTCAAGAGTTATGAAAGACCTACAAATTATTTATCTCAGGTACAGAAAAAAGACTCCTGTTATTAATGTACTGAGGCGGTGCAATTAAACAAATAATTTCCTCTGTATCATACCAAATAATATAATCTGTTCCTGGCCATCAATTTTATCCTATTTTTTTCATAGCTTTGATTTTGAATTTTTCTTCTGTTATTTCTTCTACTAATGCTGGAAAATGTTTCTCCTCGTAAACTATAATGATGTAGGCAATTAGATCATAGTTGCCCACCTCTAAATCCATAGAATTATTAGCTTTCGGCTTTCTAGTTCTTTCACCTGTTTTTCTGCCAGAACCAACGGTGTTGTTTAAAATTAAATTTTTTTTCTTTGCTCCATTTATTTTTCTTCTCCTCTTTTGTTTTTCTTCATTCTCATTGTTTATTGCTACATGGTTAATTTTTTGTAGCCTTTCATTTGAACACTTGAGATATTTTTCTGGGAAAAAATGGATTTTTAAATGGCGTTGGAAATTTTGAAGGAGTAACAAAATATGATTCAGCAGAATTTATGGGAGATCGATTTTCAAAATAGGTTCAGAAATTAAAAACTATTTTGCTCCATGTAGCTTTGACAGGGTTTCTTACAATACTCCTTATGTAATATTCTGTTACTTATTATAAAAGACGTGCTGTAATGTTATTTATAATTACTTTTTTGTTACAGTAATTGAGAGCTGTGTAGTAGTTTCAGTAGGAGGAACTAGGATTTCTGCACCAAGCGTTTGCGGTGAACATGGCCATTGCATAAATCAAGCCGGCGTCGGACATAAATGCCAGTGTAAACCAGGTTATACAGGCAAATATTGCCATGAAAGTAAGTTATTATTTTATCATTTGATATTAATACAGTACACACTTACTAAATTATTAAAAAATATTATTCGCTGATTCGTTTTGAAACTATTTTTCTGCTGACAATTCCTTGATAAACCTTCTCTTATGAGAATAACACTTTCCGTCTCTTTTGCGGCTTTTTCTTTTTGGAATCTCCATCAGAATTTTGCTGTCTTTTCTTGGAACAACTCGGTTGTTCATCCATTGTGTTTTAAAAATCACAAAATGTAACTAAAAATTCATTATAAAACTCCAATAACACTCGGTTTTTATCACCACACACTTCAACCGCACAAAATACAATTACAAAATGCAACACATACACTCCCGTCAGCACCTCCTATGTAAATGAACGTTTCTTGCTTCGGTACATGCATTGGTGTTATCGCTGCGATGCTTTACAAATTCCCAGGTTGCCAAGTGTTTGAAAAGGAATGGCAATGAAATGTAAAATATCAATTTTTATTTTATAAACTTAAATATGTAACGAAACGGAACATGTAAATAAAATTTATTTCATAATAATTTTGTGCTCAATTTTTAATATTGAAAATTTTTTTTTGTATTTTAATAACGATAATAATCGCTGAGTCAACGAACTCAGCTGCACTATACGGCAGCTCGTGGTCAAGTCTGCTATAGAGAAGCACAAATATATTCTGTGATTTCTTATGAGAAATCGCAAATTGATTGGGTCATTTTCGAGGGTCGCTGTGTACTTTTAAATTTGAGGATATTTGGCGTGTAAACAGTAAAATCACTCTTTCAAATAGTGAAATTTTACTATACTCTATATCGCACATCAGCAACAACACTGTCACAAGTCGAAATTCAGTATTTTTTATTTTTGTTATAATAAATAGGTATTTTTTAAACTTTCGTCAGCATCACTGTCGAAAAGATATTTTGTCATATAAGCGCTAGATGGCGACTTATGTCCATTATAGCTATAACTACTTTTGTATAACTCTATTCAACAATAGTGTAACAACTCACTTATGACAGTATTACAGTAATTTTTAGATAACTATTTTTTTTTTCAAATTAAGTGAGGTATACTACTATTATTTACTAATAGCGATGGATCTCGACAACAACACTGTCATATTATTCTGAAAGCCACATTGTGGTGTGTTTTCTGTTTATTAAAAAAAAAGGTTATTTTGTGAATTTGTCATAGAAGAATGACTAATCAGTCAAAATACATCTATAGAGACAGCTATCAGCAAATAGCTGACATCTATAGATTATAAAACAATTTGTATGGAAGAAAATAAAAGTTATCAGAATGTCACCATGTTCTCAAGAATTTTTAATATATAATTTTTTTATCCTAAGAAAGATCAGTGCAGTATGTGTGCAGAGTATAAACATACAAAGAGTAAGATCAATTTACAGAAAAAGTGTGATCGTCATTTAAAGGAAAAAGATCTGTCACATACTAAAAAGAAAAAGATAAGCAAAGAAGCAAAGCACGTGAGTGTATTACAGTCTCTTTTGATTTACAGGCAGTTCTCCATACACCTTGTGGGGCATTAACTCTTTTAACTGTAAATCAAAGTTAAGTACGAATAACTTTACTATATTTGACTTACGATTATTGAATGGTTTCTGCTACATTTGGCACGAAGGAGAAGGTAACTGTGTATCTAACGAGATAGAATCATGATTATACTCATTTTTTAAAAATGAATGCTCTAAAGGCTTTCCTGTTGTATTTTACTGCGATAATTGCTATGTTGAGAACAAAAACAAATTTACAACCTCGTTACTTCTTTAAATAGTAAGCAAACCCGATATTCCTTTGATCATTTAAAGTTTTTGATTTTTGGTTATAAGCAAAATAAAGGAGACAACATGCACTCCTTGATTGAAAAACAGAAGAAACATCCTATCACAATTTTGTGGTTTTGGAAGAAAAACACCTTTGGATTTTCAGCAACATAGACACATTTGTTAATAACTAATATGTTAGTTTCAAATTTCTACAATGCACAATACTAATTGATAAAACAACCTAAATTAATATTATTGAAGTAAAACTAACAAAACTTTCATTCAATTTATAGAAATAATCCAACATTAATTAGTAAGGATAATCTTCATACCCGATTTACCCAAATTGGCAATTTTTGACTTATGACAGTGTTGTTGCTGAGGTGCGATATATACTATACATTATGATTAGTTACTAATAAGTAGTCTTACTTTTTATATGTCTAAATTATGTTTATTCATACATTATTGTAATGTGTACGATGCCAAGACTTCATCAGATTCATCGATATATAATTGATAGGTACTTACCTAATTTTGTATCAATTAAAATTGTAAAATCTAATTTACTTTCTTTTATTTTAGACATCAACGATTGTAAAATAAACCCTTGCGAAAATGGCGGTACCTGTGTGGACAAAGTCAACGCTTTCCAGTGCATTTGTATCGAAGGATGGGAAGGTGCTTTATGCAGTATAAGTAAGTCCAACATACTTTACTACTACATTTGCTACAGCTATACAGGGTAAGACCGGTCGTCACTCGACACTGAGGAGTAGGCAGATTGAGACTTCAGTAGCGTTTGATGGTTCTTGTATTTCTACAGAACACGATACTGATATTTCACGAGTGAGGGGAATACGCAGATTGAGACCCAGAACTCGAACGGAACCGTATCCCTCTTGGTAATGCTCAAAAATGGGTGCCGAACGGAAACGTCGAATTTTAAATTATATTTAAAAAATATCTTTGAGAAGCTTTCGGAGACAGCGGTAGAACTATTCTATTTTGGGTTAACCTGGCAATTCTTAGTTGATTGATTGTCGTGTCTACCATGACAGTGACGTAATCAATTTATCCTAAGGTTTCTAACTTGGACGTCAGTAAACGCTACACAAAGATGTGACCAACTATATATATATTTAATTTTATCTTTCTTCGCTTGCAATAGTTTTTCTTCTTATTTTTAATGATCATATATTAAGATTGGTCTCGTTTGACAGTTTCTGGATTACCAGTAGTCACTCTACCAGTTAACTTATCATTACCATAACATAGTTCCAGAAAATTTTTCCTTAAAACTCGACTCCTACTGGATTAATTAATATTTCGAATTAATATGGATATTATGCTTTCACGCGTAATTAGTGGTTCTTATACAATTTGTGTTACTTTACCGTACATATCACAATTTTGCTAAGTGTCATTGCGTAGGTTTTAAAAGGAACATTTTTGACAAACAGTGGCGCCACAGGTGTGCTGAATAGCGTATGACATTGACACTTAGCAGTAAGTAAAGGTGGCTCCCTAGACCTACAATAACATTGTCTAATACATTCATTGTAAAATAATATTGAATGGCGCTTTCTATCCAAACTTTCAATTATATTACATAATAATCCGAACTCCGCAATGTTGTCGTGTTCAGTGTTAGAGAATAGTTTGATCCCACGTGCATTGTGCATTATGCTGGATTTTCACAGATCCGATATCCGATGACACGAAATACGAAATTTTTTTGTACGAATATATTGGATTGTCGTATCCGAAATTTTTTAACATATATGTGTTATGTGTCAGATTATTGGATGGATTGATATTTATTTCAATGAACTGTCAATACATGTTAGCTGTTTTGTTTGATATATAATATATATTATATTGAGCTACGTTCTCGTAATTTTTGCCTCACATAGTGTAGAAGACCCAAAAGCAACACTTTATTCATTGCATTTATATAATAATTAGGTCTTTGTACCATTTTAAATATATTTCAAATAGTAAACATAAACACCCCACAAAAAAAAAGGTTAAGGTTCAAGTTAGAAATGTCAACAATGTCAAAATTCATCCGATTTTCGTGCAAAAGTTAAAATATTTTTAACTTCTTCCGATGACTTTTAATTTCGTACGAAAATTATACCTGTCATTTTTTAACCACTGAAATTCTCTGAAATTTATATCGTATCATCGTACCATCGGATATCGGACCTGTGAAAATCCACCTTTAGACAAAACTCAGAATAAAAATTATTGCGTAATACTGATCCTACACGTTGCATTGAAGAAATTGAAGAAAATTAAACTCACTCACAATTTCGTTCAAACATTGCGCAATCTTCAATATTAGCCGTAGAAGATATATTGCACAATATTGCGCAGTATTACATTTTGATGCGAAAATTATTGTTTTGCACAGCACACCATAAATGACGTATCCACAAAAGTTTTTAAATATCTTTAAAACCAAATTGCATAGTAATATTTATTTTTTGACACTAATTTATATTCTAGATACTGATGATTGCTCTCCTAATCCTTGTCGCAATAATGGAACCTGTATCGATGGCGTTGCTGATTTCGAGTGCGACTGCAACGACGGATGGAAAGGCAAAACTTGTTCCTTGAAAGACAGTCACTGTGATCATTCAACCTGTAAAAATGGCGGAACATGTCAAGACTTAGGAAACACCTTTATTTGTAGATGTCCACCAGACTGGGAAGGTATGTATTTAATTGATCATCTGAGGGTATAAAAATATGGCACTTAAACAAAAACCATTTTTAAAAACTTGGTCCAAAGAATCTCGTCTTCAATTTATCTTTATCATGAACGTAATATCTATGTTATCAATCTCGTGCTGAAATCCATTTTGCTAGTGATCAAATTTAAGTGTATTTTAAAAGACAATAACCACATATCTTGTCAACATATACAATACTCTTTAATATATGAGGATATAATATGTTACAATTTTTTTCATTTAGGAACAACATGCCACTTGGCCAAACAAACAGCGTGTAAATCAAATCCTTGTTTAAACGGAGGAACTTGCGTCAATACTGGTGACTACTATCAATGTATTTGTAGAGATGGATTTGAAGGTAACCATTGCCAAGAAGACGTCAACGACTGCAGTCCGCAGCCTTGCTATAATGGAGGAAAATGTATTGATGGAGTTAACTGGTTCCTTTGCGAATGTGCACCAGGTTTTACTGGACCTGATTGTAGAATCAATGTCAACGAATGTGCTTCGAATCCTTGCGGATATGGTGGGACATGTATAGATGATATTGGAGATTTCAAATGCATTTGTCCTCCAGGGAGGAAAGGCAAGAGATGTAACCGTAAGTATCTTTCCATTTTTAAACTTACATTTACTTATAACGTATTGTTACACATTTAATTAAAATATATTACATATCCTTACATGGCTAACTAAGGTAATATTATTTTTTCTTTTTTAGTTAACGACTTGACGTACCTCCCATCACCTGGGAGCTGTCCGTGGAATAGCCACACTCTTGAAAACAACGTCACGTGGCAACACGAATGTAATACATGTATGTGTAACAATGGCGTAGTTAAATGTACAAAAGTTTGGTGTGGACTTAATAACTGTCGAACCTCTAATCAACAAAACCTGTGTACCTTGACACAAGTCTGCGTTCCATCCGCCCTAGAATCTTGTCTTTCGCCCCCTTGCCTTCCCTATGGTGAATGTAGAGACCTAGAAAGTGGAAGAAGAGTCAAACCACCTTCGGTACCCACACCCAGTACGTGTTGGCCGAACCAAGCTGTGCTCAGTAACACGTGTGCCAGACTGACATTGCTAGTGGATAGAATCAAACTTCCGCAAGGAACTACGGTTGAAGGTTTATGTGGAGACTTGAGAAGGTTGCTGGCAAATCAGCAGGCGATCGAAGGTCTTCAAGATACATTGGTGCTTCTTTGTGACTTAAAAACGGGTTACAATGATACAGTAGAAGTAACACTAGTAAGTATATATTCTATTTATATTGTTCTGAAATAAGTTCTAGTCTATGTCTACTATAGTGATTTGAATAGTTTGGTAATGAAATATCTTAGTATCTTCTCTTCCCTTTTCTAATGCCCTGTTACCTATTATATGCAGTTAATAGATGAATTGTTCATCTCACAAATCTCAACGTATATTTAGATATTTTCCTATCAAATTAAGTTTAGATGCTATTATTGTGGATCTTATATTCTTAAATTGCCTTCAAGTATCTCCTTAATTTCTTTTTACAACCTTTTTAAAAAAATTGTACTGGTTTTAAATTAATATTCCTTTTTTAGTCCGGAGATCGTTGGGTGCTGGATGGAATTCGAGTTGTCGGCGAAGCCATATCCAGGAAACAAACAAGCCTTCTGGGATTGGCCTCCATCGTGGAAGTAAAAGTAGAGACTGCTCTTGTATCAGGAGAGCAACAAAGTAACTCGTACCTCATCGCTTTGGTTTGTTTGATTATAATCGGATTATGTGCAGCTGCGTTTGCTGGTGTTCTGTATATACGACAACGAAGAAGAAATCTTGGACTTAGCGGCGTCAACTTGTCGCCTTCCACTGATGCTTGCCATAGAAATCACGAAGATGAGAAATCGAATAATTTACAAAACGAAGAAAATTTAAGAAGGTAAGCGTTAGTGTTGTAATACTGTATTACATTCGCGTTCATGAATGTATTTGTTGTGATAAGCCAGTCTAATAATGCATTGTCAAAATTTCTTTATATATTTTTGTCTTAAGTGTGTAAAGTAAACTAGGCAACTTAGTTTGTAACACTAACAAAAAGTAAAATATTTTCAGGTATGCCAATCCTCTTAAAGACGACGTAGGCAGCTTAGCTAGCATAAACTCATTGGATATGCCACGCGTTAGCGTAGTTCGACCAATGTCTAGTATTCTTCCCCACGACAGTTCCAGCGAGATGTTAGAAATGATCTCCGAAATCGACTGTCCAGGCTCACGAAAGACAATGCTGGTATTACCTAGCACCAGCGCTTCAGACTCTGCCCTAAAGCTTCACGAAGGTGTCAAAGGGACTGAGGGCCTCAACAGCGCCCACCGCAGCAGCCAAATAATGCTGTACAAAGCCCAAAATCCGGACGTTCGGAAAAACACTGCCGCTTTCGATGATTCATCGGGACACAAGGACTTTAGTAAAAATATTATTAATGTTAATAAGCAAAGGACTTCACAACATCAGCAGCAACAACAACAGCAACAGAATAGTAGTGCGGATGTGCTAACGGTACTTGTTTGAAGGCCAGTGTTTTAAATGTATTGTGGTAACTTAATATGGGGTCCCAAACTCCATCGTTAACTGATTATTGTTAACAAAATGATTATGATGATCTTATTTATTAAAAATTGGCGATGACAACTAAAAAAAAGGTGCAGCGTCATTAGATTTGTTTGAGCAAATTTTAAGAGAACTTATCCATTGGAGAAATATTTTATTTCGCTCACCTCATTAAAAATTTATTTTGCTTTAGATAAGATCAAGTTTGCCTACAATAACTGTATTGTTCTTCTTCTTTTTCTTCCTGTGTATAAGCAATTCTGCTTGTTCAGTAGCGGATCTCCTCTATGGGAGATTGTCACTCCATCTTTTGCGCAATCGTCCAATAATTCTGCCGATTGGTGACTTATCTTTTGCTATTTTGACGACACGGGTCTCTTTCATTCTGCTTATATGGTTATTCCATTTTTTGTATTTCGTGTCCATTCATTTATGCACTGTACGTTACATTTTCTTCTAATGTCTTCACTTCACTTTCGTTCTCTCAGCGTCTTTCCTGTAATTCTTCTGAGTACTCTCATCTTTGCCGTTTGCAGTAGCCTTTGCGTTTTGAATGTGTCGGGTCTTGTTTCTGATGTATATGTCATTATTGGTCTTTTACAAGGTATCTTGTCAGTCGATTTGCTTTTTGTACTTGATCTCTCACTACTATGTCCAGGTCTCCATAGCTAGACAATGTAATTCCCAAGTTCTTTATTTCCATTACTTGTTTAACTGATGTCATCAATTTCTATTTTACATCTGGTTTGTACTTTGCTGATTACTATTGTTTTAGTTTTCTGACATAAGATTGTCATATTAAATTCTTTTGTTCTTGTGTTAAATCTGTGGACCAGTCTTTGTAGACTATCTTCATCTTGGGCTATCAATATTAAGTGGTCTGCGTAACAGAGTATTTTTATTTCTTTGTTTCCCATTCTGTATCCTCTTTCTTGGTTAACGCTTTTGATGTTTTCATCCATGACCAAATTGAAGAGCATGGGGCTCAATGAATCTCCTTGTCTTATTCCGATGCCTATTTCTATAGATTCTGTAAGTTGTCGATCTATTCTGGATTCCATTTTGTTGTTTTGGTAGATGTTTTTGACACAGTATTCAGCAAATACTATATTTTTAAACTTTACTTTATCAATTATAAGTCAAAACATGTTAGTATATAACATATTACTGACAAGGTTTTAATTAAACAAACAGTTTAAAACATTTCTTTGGCATTCATTATCACGTTATTTATGATCTTGCTGTAGAACTTAATATCAACTAATACCAAATGTTAATGTCAATTTTATGCTAGTAAACTCTTATCGCCAATTTTTAATAAATAAGGAACAAAAATAAAACCCATTGGAAATACGTTAAATTTTTGTAAATTTTCATATTTCCTTTTTAACCCACCTCTTTGTTCATGTTAAAGTTGCAGAAAAAATAGAAACGTTTATTTAATATTTTTATTAAGAGTTTTTTCTGGAACTAATTTTTTGTGTCTGTGAGATACTTTTTATTTCCTTTATTATAGAGGGCGAATGTATATACAAGATTAAAGCAATCTTATGAGCAATTTTTATCCGATGTCATAAAAATTGTAATAGGAGTCGACTGAATAATTTTCTCAGCTGCTCGAAATTTAAAAAATGTTTCAGATTTTAATAAAAGTTGACACTCAACAATAAAAAGTCCCTTATTTCAGGAAGATATATTGATATATTAAGTCGTGATTGATTATGACATAAAATATTTTGAGAGTACAATTTTCTGCAAACATTTAATGTATAAGCCTTTTGTATTTATGAGAGTTTTGATGATGTCACTGAGGATGAAGTATATATCAATTTAAATCGTTTTTAGTACACATTTTAAATATTGTCATTGACCAAAACAAATTCAGTACCAAAAATACATCAGCGTGTAATTTAAAACAAAATGAAGATAATGAATTCACCATCAAAATTGTTTACTAAATTTCCTACTAAATGTTTTTTCGTAGTTTCTTCAAGCCTAAAGTAAAATGTGCCAGTTTTACACATTTTCCCATATTAATTTTAATGCTGAATCTGTAACAGCTCATTATTGTTACTTATTTTTGCCTGTACTAATTCTAGTACGTTCAGAGGTACCACACAAAACTAAAGTATCATTTTTCTCTATCTCTAGTACTTTATCTCTATCTTCGTGGTGAGCAGTCACAGTTAACAGTTGAAAGAGTCCATTTACACGATGAGGAGAGTCCGTTACATAGCATGTTAACTTTCTCTATATTATTAAAATCTACAAAAAATCTTTAAAAACAATAAATAAATAATAAAATTATTTTATTCAATTTTGAAAATATTATTTAAATTATAAAAATACAGAAAATATAGCATGAAGCTTTACGCTAGCCGCTAGCCCCTGGTCTAGTGCCGCTTACTATACGGGATTTTTAATTTTTATTTTGATTTAGTTTTATCGTTTTAGCAGTTTCAAATTTTAAGTTTTTTTAATTCATCTTATCATCTTCTCTCGAAGGAAGCTTAACCTTAGGAATATCACTGTTTTCACTACTGTTCTAAGTCGTTAAGTAAATGTTGTTCAATGTATAACCTCAAATTATACAGCCATGACATTTTTCTTTATTGATATGGTTTTTATATAAATGTTATCTATATTATCTTTAATAGAAGCTTGTAATTTATACTTTTTATAATATGCAAAATCCACTGCAGTAATTATATATATTCTACTCAATACTTCGTAATTTTCACCTGTCATGATGTGCTCCAAGTATTCGAACTCCCTGATTTTTATGGAATTTAAAACTTCGCATTGTTTTCCTAGTTGTTAACACCACATATAAAATGGTTCCAGGTTTTTAATGTTGAATTGCTTTAGAGTCCAGGCCTCAACTTCATCCAAAAGGGTGAAGAAAATATAACATCGAAGCACTCTTATCTGGAGCTTTATATTGATATTGCGGTGACAGAAAATTTTTCTCATTCTGTTAAAAGTTGACCGTGCAATTTTAATGGGGCATGTTACTTCTTTTGTCTGGTCAGTATCTTCTGTGATCCATGCTCCAAGGTATTTGTACGAAGATATTTGCTCAATTTCTATATTATCTAGTACTTGCTTAACGTTTATGTTTTGTGCTTTTTTAAATACCATGAACTTGGTTTTCTTTACAATTAGTCCATAATCGTTACAATGTATATTTAGTTGTTGCAATTCTAGTGTTTCCGCTAGAAGGACGGTATTATTTGCAATCTTATGTTATTGTAGCTCACCGTTTATTATTAGGCTCTCATTGACTTCGGCCAACGTTGATTCTGAGATGGCTTCACTGTGTAAATGAAACAACAATGGTGGTAAAATACAACTTTGGTGAACTTTACAGCGAATCTAGATATCCTAGTCAGTTTATTTTAAATTTTCACTTTTCGCTGTTTGATTTCCATAGAAGTTACATATAATTCCAATATTTCTACTGTCTATGTTTTTATTTTAAGAAAATTTCAGTAACACGATTATAATTATTCTTTCAAGTGCCTTCATAAAATCAACAAAACAGGCATATACTTTCTAATATATCATATCTAGGTACATCTGCGAAAGAACACTCCCTGTAAACAGTGCATCCTGGGTTCTTAGACCTTCCCTAAATCGCATTTGTGTATTACTTATGCCTTCATCTAATTTCTTATGTATTCTATTGTGAATTACTGTTAAAAACAATTTTAAGACATGTCTTGTTACGGCTATGGTGCGATGTTCATTGCACTCCTTTGCATTGGCTTTCTTGTGAAACAGTATAAATGTTGATTGGAGCCATTCTTTAGGTATTATGCCTGTTCTATATATGGTATTGAATAGATCCAAAAAATGTCAATGAATTTAATATCCATAATTTTCAATAATTCCATGGGAACTACATCAGGAACGGGAAATTGATTACTTTTAGTTTGTTTCTAGTTTGTTTCATTGCATATTCGATTTCTTCTCATATAATTTCAGGCCCAGTAACATTTTAAAATTCTTTTGGCGTTTCTGTTTTTTTTTGTCTTCAAAAACCTGTGCTATATATTGTGTCCATCTCTGCATTTTTTGGTTTATATCTGTTATAAGTGATAATTTCCCAGTGGGTGTTCAATTTTGTTCGTATCCTGTTGTGGATGGTGAGTTTTGGCACATCAAATTAAGTTGTTCCTGATCCAATTTTACCAAGTTCATCAGCTCTTTAATTTTCGTAGATTCTCCAATGACAACAACCATACCAGTGTGACAACGATATGCTTTTCTATAGAGATCTTCCGGTAATCCCACACTAGCATAGAGGTTGCATCAGGATTCCTAGATTATTCCGAGAAACAACTGTTTGGTTATTTTATATCGACGACAGAGACAGCGACGTAAAAGAGACTGAAAAGATTGTGTCGTTCATTTTTATCATTGTGACTACAGACAGCCAGTATGTAACTTTATATCCTAAATCAAGGCTGTAAGGACCCAAATTTTTCGACTAATTTAGAATTTAAATCAAGTCATTTGTTGACTTAACAGCTGTCCTAAAAGATAAACTCATGGAACGCTATACGATTTTGTGTGTTACCGAAAGATTATATTATTTACCCATACCATTTTTAAACTTCTTTTTAAACTCAAAAACATGTCTTAAAGCATCGAAGGCACAAGCTCGATATGCGCAGTTCTTATGTCGTTTGTCAAGCAAATGGTATAAAAGCGCGCATCAATGTGCGTTTTAATGTCGATTTATACATATCAGTGCTGAGTTCAGGTATTTTTAATATCATATTTACATACAACCGCGTTGTGCCAGTGTTCGTACCGGGCCGAATAAAAGAGGAAAACGTTATTACATATTTCTTTGTAAAACATAGTTGAAAATATGGCGACTAGGATAGAAGATCTCACCGTGTTTGTCATTATTACTTGATAAAAAGGAAGAATCAGAGCAGAAAAGGCTCAAA